AGTTTGTACTTTATCATAGTACTTATCACACTGGATTTTATCTATGTGTTTTATTTGCCTTACTGCTTGTCTGTCTTTACCAATTGGATAAAAATTCTGTAGGTCAGTGACACTGTCTTATTCACCTTGGTTACCCACCACCCATTGGTATTAGTATTCTATTGCTGCTGTAACAAATAACCACAAATTTAGTGGCTTAAAGAACACAAATATATTATCGTACTGTTCTGGATGTCAGACGTCTTAAATGGGTCTCACTGGGGTAAAATCAAGGTATCATCAGAAGTATTCTTTCTGAACTATATTCTTTCTAGGGGAGAATCCATTTCCTTGCCTTTCTAGCTTCTAGAGGCCACCCATGTTCCTTGGCTAATGGCCCTTTTCTTTCATCTTCAAAGCCGGTAAAGTGGAGCTGAGTCTTTATCTTGCTACCATCTGTCTGTGTTTTCCTCTGGTTCTCTCTCCGTCTCTTCTCTCCTGGCTTCCTCTCTTACTTTTTAAGAGCCCTTGTGATTACATTGGGACCACTGAAATAATCCAGAATAATCTCCCTCTTTTAAGCTCAGCTGTTTAGCAACTCAGTTCCATCATCTGCTACCTTAATTATCCTTTGCCATATAACTTAAAACAGTCACAGGTCTGGGGAATTAGGATGTGGACATCTCTGAAGGGACATTATTTTGCCTACCACATCTTCACATGATCTGACATATGATATTAATGATGATCCATTGAATCAATGAGCTATATTCAATTCAACCAGCTTCTGCAAGGAAGAAACACTTCCTTCTTTTGGGTTTCAAGTACAGAAGCTTGCTTTCTAATAGTCTAGAGTTTACTGGTCCTGGGGTTAGTTGCTAAAGTGATACAGTAGGTGATTGAGAAGAATCCTGAAAGCAGTTCAAAAACTGTTTGTTATCTGCTGTTATAACAAGTCACCTAACTTGTTTGGGCTTTAATTCAGCTTATGTAAAAGTTTGAGGGAAAATGTTGAAACTTTTCCAACATTAACATCGTATAACCTATGCATATGTCTTTCATACCTTTATTATAATGGTTTTCTGAAAAGTGGAATATTAAATCTTAGACAGACTCAGGGCTCAGAGACACAGAGGATATCCATGTTCAAAACCTTGTTGATGAATGGGATGTGACAAAAATAAGTCAGAAATACTCAGAAAAATAGCCGTTTATAGATGATTACAATGAAAACCAATTCAATTTATACAACCAAAAAAAGCTACATCTAGAATATGGTTAGTCATGCCAGAAGAAGGACTATGGAAATTGTAGTGCCATCCATTGTTAGTGATTTTCTAAAAAGGATTATCACGCACAGTGGATGAATGATGGGCCTTGGTTGTATACAAATTCCTATGGACTCCTTTTTACTCTCGAAAGAGTTTAGGAATGCATTCCATACTTCTTTCAAAGCAATTCTGCCCTACTTTTTTTTTTTTTTTTCCATTCCACTGATGGATCGCAGAAATCTTGTTTGATTTCAGGTCTCTATAAAGTTTGGGCATTGAAGAGGGATATATATGTGTCATATGAAATGCGGCTAAAGTTCAGAGAAATAGGTTTCATTTAATAGCTAAATACTGGATGACCTCACCGTTCTTCCTAGCCCCTGGCGCTCTCCTGCCCGTGAGCGATGGAGGAGCACTGGCCTGAACTGAGGAGTGGCTGCTGGCCTCAATGAGATTTTGCAGTGATCTGTGTGCACTATGGTTTCCTTCATAACTAACAAATCAATTCCCACTCTACGTATTACACACCCCAGTGGCAGAGGCCATTTATTATCCTTTTGATGGTCATACTCTTTGTACATAACCAAGACAGATTACAGAGGAGAGAAAGAATAGTTGAAATGGGATGGAGATATTCCACAATGGCACAGCACTTTATAATGTGCCTTGCATGTATACAAGGATAAAAAAGATGCTGTCTTTCAAGACACAATCTTGAAACATAAGAGTGGAATTCTTTTGAATGAAATATATTTCAAAAACAATAGGTGGAGAGGTTGTTGTGGATCTAATTCTAGATAAGTATACGTTGAAATTTCAGGTGCAAATTCAAGATGGTTAAAAAAAGAGGGCTGTCATTTTTTCTTATTATCTGGGAATTGCATATAAAGTTATACTTGACTACCTGTATTCTATTAATGAGCTTTTTGATACTTCCTTTTATTTGGCATTCTTTTTGTTCATTTCTAACATAGTAGTATGTACATTTTTGAACTCTAAATGACTGATTCCAGTTTTCTCCCCTAATTCTTTGAATTCAGATACCATAGTTACCATTTTTAAACAAACAAAAGCAAATATTGAATCGTATTAACTAGGTCCAAGATAATTGAATATACTGAAATAGATATAATTTGCAATGTGATTAGTCTTGAATCAAAAGTCTAGTAAGCAAATACATGTTGCTGAATGTGGGTGGGAAACATTTTATTAGTGAAAGTAATGGTGCAAATATGGCTTTACAGTGAATTCTGGGCATAATCACTTAAACTGCTTTTTCACGTATGTCAATGAACATGAAAAGAACAGTTGGAAATTACCGAAGGTCAAAGAAGCTACTGTCTTCTCTATTTTGCATCATTTGAGTCTCTCCAGTTTTTTGCAAACAACACAACACCCAATCTGCATTTGATTTCCTTCCCTTTGAAGGGGCCAAGCAGTGCCAGAATAATTAACTGAAGAGGAGATCACGCACAGGGTATTTTGCTTTAGTGGTGTAGAAAGTTCTGGATCTTATTTCACATGATGGTAAATGTAATAAGGTATTGTGGAATCCTTACTACGTGTAGAATTCTATAAGACATTGGGTCTCTTGACTGTATTACTGTGTGTCAATCAAAGCTTCTTGGGGACTAGCTTCCTGTTTAACTAGTCCTTATTTACGTAATTGAAAAGGCTGCTTAATTCAAAGACTGCACCTGGTTTTCAGCAAGCTGATGCTCTACATCTTCACGGCAAAATACATACAAGAACAACAAAAAGGAAGCACCAAAGTCATGCTCAGTGCCTCATTAGCTCTGTGCAGACCAAAGGCAATAGTCTGGGGTTGGGAATAGGGAGTTTTCTTTTAATTGCTGTGTTGCTCCTGCTGTTAGGGGTGTTTTTTTTTTTTCCCCCTACCTTTTCGCCCTCCCAAAGACTCTGGTTTCTCTTATTTATCTGCTCCTCTTCCTGGTACAGTTGTCATCATATTTGATAATCTTCAAAGGGAGGAAGAGATGAACCTTTATTTGTCCGATCATTTGGATCTGTGAACTCTGTGTGTATTTTGTTGCAGTACTGTCCTGACTTGCTGTGGTTAGTTACTAAATCCCTGAACTCTGGTACTAGTTTCTGTTTTGGTGAAAGGTTTATTATCAGGACGATTTCTGGGTGAGGAATTTACTGAATCAGTGCAGAATCTTTCTAGAGTTAGGCAAGCTAATCTGGGAATTTGCAGCCTAGTTTTTATTAGCGGGTGTAATACAACCCACACTATATACCAATAGAGTTTATTGTTTAAATTAAATAACAAATAAATGCATGTCCATATTTACATCTCCTTAAAAATAAAAGGGATCAGAGCTACAGTTAGACGGGTGTCCTACATTTCTTGGGCTTGATGGAAGGACAGCCGATTTCTAAGTTGTGCTAGCAAATACTGGAAGAGGAGAAAGAGGGAGAAGCAGCAGACTGAGTATTTACTGTTCTGTGATAGTATCACGGGAGTCTCTGGGTGTTGCAAACAGTTAATGTTCTTGGTAGCTAACCCAAAGATTGGAGGTTTGAGTCCACCCAGAGGTGCCTTAGAAGAAAGGTCTGTTAAACTACTTCTGAAAAAATCAGCCGTTGAAATCCCTATGAATCACAGTTCTCCTCTGAGGCATCATGAGTCAGAATTGACTCAACGGTAACTGGATGGTTGGTAGGTAGGTAGTATCACAGTGATTGCACTGTTCAATGTGTTTTACATCTGTTAATTTAGTCATTTTACAGACCCTAGGATATGGGAAATATTATTTCCCTTTGCCATATGAGGAAACTAATGCATAGAGAGGAATTATACCCAGGCAGTCATATTCCAAAGCCTGTACTTCTAGTCTCTAAACTGTAGTAACTCTACTGCATATTCCTGCCACATATTCTTGGGCCTGGGTGGAAATGGTTTCTGCCTTTACAGTTATTTTCATATGACCCCTTCATCTTTTCTCCTGTAAAAACTATAATTGTCAAGACTTTGAAAACATCTCTTGCTCTTAATACTAAACATGAAAAGGAAAACAGAGATTAATTAAAATGACTTCTATGTAATTCTTTTATGGCTAGTTTTGACAGAAAATATCAGTATTGTGTTAAGGAATAAAAGAATCTGGGTTTTGAATTCTCAGTCATATCCTTTAGTCATACATTAATAACTAATTTCAAAAATGAAATAGTTCACGTTTAATGTTACATGCAAATAATTGCATCTGATATTAATGACGAGTTCCTGGGTCGTGCAAACAGTTAATGCACTTGCTGCTAATGGAAAGGTTGGAGGTTTGAGTCCACCCAGAGGTGCCTCAGAAGAAAGGTCTGACGATCTGCTTCCAAAATAATCAGCCATTGAAAATCTATGGAGCACAGTTCTACTCTGACACACATGTGGACTCCAGGAGTTGGAATCCACTTGACAGCAGTTGGTTTGCTTATTTGTTATTCGGTTAACATTAATGAAGAAGGACATTGTGGGTAGGTGAAATAAGTAAGAATACATTATAGATTTTAAAGTTTTTTAAAAATAAGTTCATTGTTTATAATAATTCATTTCCATGTTTCTTTATTTCCCCCCTTTAGTAATGTATTATAGCTAAACAGAATATGAAGATTTGGGGCCCTAAGTATTTAATAAATAATTTCACTTTTGCAAGGTCTTCATTGTCATTCTCTGAACATTTCACTTTTGGTTGGTGCATTAAGCCTAGATTTTATCTATTATTTCTTTGTTTGTAGCTGCTCTTCTGTTGCTGATAAGAGAGGATCTGGAAAACTCTCCAAGCATCTCCAATTTGTGCTGGTGTTAGTGTTTTCAGAACTTCAGTTAGCGCAATGGCAAAACCAGTGCTTCCGGTACATTCTCCCGCTGATGGCTTCTCTCTGGTTCCTGAGGCTCTACTTGCATTACCTTGGCCCGCGGTTTTTCCTCCGGGCCGTTTCAACTCCTGTTACCAAGTGAGTGTTTTCCCCTGAAAGTCCAAGAAATGTATTTTCATCTTGATAAGCCAAATGAAAGTAAAAACTCTTCTCTAGTCCATTTACGATAAGGCCTAAGATGCAGGTACGATTTGAAAAGGCAAAAATGTCTTTCTATAAGAGCAGAAACTTCTTACTACAGTTATACCCTATTTTATGGGCCTATATATACAGATACAAAGCTGGTACATCAATATTTATTTAAATTTAGCAGATTCAAATATGTTCTAATATCTGAGCAGGAACCAAAAAGGAATTTAGCAACAATCTTTTATTCTGTTTTGATTTTTTCAGAGTACCTTAGGCCGAAGGTGTTTTAGAAGTAATGCAAGTCTGATTTATCACCTATACTCAGAGAAGCAAAGATTGCTTCTTCTGCCGATTGATTGAATTCAAACAATTACCAATCTCAAGCCCAGGCAGCTTTCTGGGCCATTATCCTTGGAAAAATATGACACTTTAAAGGTTATCTCTCCATAAACATGATTCCGTAGACACTATAGATAGACAGATAGATACCAATACAAGTAAAATTCATTTTCTCAAATGTAGATGGTTCAGATAAAAATAAAGATGTGTGTATATTTTCAATTAAGAGAACAGCAAACCACTTTAAGACTTTATGAAAATGAATATATGCATGTATATTATATATCCACGCACACGTGTAGTTTTCAATAGTCGTCTGAAATTCAATCACACATGTCGGAATATGTTATAAAACAGGCAGATTTATATATAGTAAAGAGCTACATTTTCCAGGAGGATTTTTATCTGCACGTTCCGTCCTTCACCCTCCTTCTCCCTCCCTTCTTTCTTTTTTTGCTTATTTTTATGTGAGGCTCCCCAAAGCATATGTTTGGCTAGTTTCTTTTTGCTACTTCCTCTTTAACTTCTTCAGTAGAAAAGGAAGCTCTGTCTTCATTAGTTGTTCATAAAATTAGACCACAAAAATATGTTGACAACACAGTTTAGCCAACTTCTTAAGCAATATCTAAAGGAACTCAGATAATATAGGTATTTTGCTGGGTGTTGTCTAGGTCGGCAGGCTTGAAGCATACATCACCTCAGGGTTCCATCCTAGTTGTGAGACATGACAATAACAACAGCAATGATGAGCACTCTTTGATCTTACTCTATGTCAGGTGTTGTATGAGTATTAGCTTCTTAGTGTTGCTGTAACAAAAATACCACAAGCTGGGTGGCTGAAAACATCAGAAATTTATTGCCTCACAGTTCTGGAGGCTGAGAGCCTGCAATCAAGGAGTCAGCAGGCTTGGTTCCTTTGGGAGACTGTTGGTTTCTTTGGTTCTATGCTTCTTTCCTAGCTTCTGGTGATGGCGGCAATCCTTGGCATTCCTTGGCTTGCAGCTACATCACTCCAATCTCTCCTCTGTCTTCACATGGCTGCTTTCCCACTGTGGCTCTCTCTGTGTCTGTTCATCTCGAATTGGATTAGGCCCCACCCTACTCCTGTGTGGCCACATGTTAACTGATGAATCTTCAAAGACCCTGTTTCCAAACAAGGTTATATTCCCAGGTATAGGGGTTAGGACTTCAACGCATCTTTTTGAGGGATACAATTCAATCCATAACTGATACTGTGCTAAGAAATATATGCCACCTGAGACTCCAAGGGAGTCCAGGGGGTGGGAGATGGGGACGCAAACGGTTAAGTGCTTGACTAATAGCCGAAAGATTGGCTGTTCAAACCCACCCAGAGGTGCTTGAGAAGAAAGACCTGGTGATTTGCTTCTGAAAAGTCACAGCCTTGAAAACCCTATCTCTGAGCACAGTTGTACTTGATGCACGTGGGGTCATCATGAGTTGGAATTGATTCAAGGGCAACTAGTTTGGTTCTGGTTATGCAGTGACCTGTTGAGGTAGCACTAAGGGGTCGGGAGAAGATAAAGACAACTAACACTTAATTTTCTCAGTACCTACTTTGTGCCAAAGTTCCCTTGGTGGTGCATACAATTTGTGCTCCATTGCTCACCTAAAGTTTAATGGTTAGAACCTACCCAGCAGCACCACAGAAGAAAGATCTGACGATCTGTTTCCATGAAGATTATAGCCAAGAAAACTCTATAACGCATGGGGTTGCCATGAGTTGGAACTGACATGATGGCAATGGATTTTTTTTTTTAACTATGTGCCAAGTTTTCTGTATTAAATAAAATAAGGAAAAAAAAAACTAGCAGATAGTTCTTTAAACTCTTTTGTACACCTGGCATTTTGTATAATTCCTCTTGTTAACATATACGTGGGTACTTTGTTTTCCTGCAGATTGCACTTTTACCCTTACACGGTTGAACTTTGCTACCCAGATTCTTCACTTCAAATCAAAGAGTTGCCTGTGGTTGTGGTGGGGCCTCTAACACTGAACGTGGTGATGCTTCTTCTGGTTCTGATCAGATGGGGCTGTCAGCTGCTGTTTGCCTCCTGCCCTGATGTCTTGTCAAAGTTAATCATTGCCATGGGACTCTGGACAATTCTAGACCCTTTGGCAGTGTTTATAGTGGATACGATCCTGGGGGTAAGTCAAATAAAATAATCTGGGTATGATTCCTTGACATAGAAATTAGCTTTCGTCCATGAATCAACTGACATGGGAAGTTTCAATAATCATGGATAATTTGATATTCATTTTAAAGTAAAGTTATTAAATTTTCCTTCTAATGAAAGTCAGAAACGTTTAATACAATCAATTTAGGTGCAATTTTAAGGATCTTAAATAAACATTTGCAAACTAAATAGGAAATAATGTTGACAATTAAATCCAAGGTAACTGGTACATTTTAAAAATTATTACAAAGAAGATTTATTTGGTAACAATTTTTAAAAAGTAAGGCTTACATAGCCAAATGTCCCAAGAAAATAATGTTACTGTAATTTCCTTAATTTTTTAGGTTATTTAACTTCTTTATGATACAATCCTTACTCCTCTGTAATAAATATACTCAAGGAGAAGAAAAAGAGCTCTTTAAACATTCACAAATAATAAAGTTTTAAAAATCATTCCACAAGGCATTTATTTTGTCTTTTGTGAGGCTTACAAAGTGATTGATAAAAACAGCCCATTTCCACTCCAAAATATATGGTTTAGGATTTCATGATTATGAATAATACATATGACGCTGTGTAAACAATAGTAATCATGTCTAATATTTGAAGAAGACCTTGTATTTTTCAAGCATCTTCATAGAGTTTGTCTGATTACATGTTCATAGGAATGCTCTAAGTTATTAGGGCAAATATTATTCTTCTCATTTTATGATTGGGAGAAACCAGACACACAGCAGTAAGTCAAAAAGCCACATGGCCATCCCACACTCACTGCAAGCACGACTAGAACCCAGGGTTCTGAATTCCAAGGCTGGTGTTTTTACCATTCTATCAAAATATCTAGTTGAAAGTTTGAATCAAATTATTATTTTGTGAAGTTAAATATATTCTTCCCTTAGTGACAGTTATTTGTTTGCTTTCAAATATGCAATTTACTAATGAGTTTTGGGGCTATAATGTGAGACAAAATTGACGTGAATATTTAATGTGAATTAATTGACATAGCCAAATCTCTAGTTGCTTTGAATTTGCAAGGCCCAGCATTTCCTGGTGCGTATGCTGCAATGTACTGGTTCTCAAACCTTACCCTGAATCAGAATCTCTCAGAGGTTTGTTAAAACACTGATGGATAGGCCCCACCTACAGAGTTTCTATTTTGGTAGGTCTGGAGGGAGGCTCACGAATTTGCATCTCTAACAAGCTGTTCCCAAGCGGTTGATGTAGTTGGCCATGGGGACCATAATTTGAGAACCACTCAGGGCACAGCTGGATAGGACAGATCCAGTGAGTAGGCTGGGCAGATCCAAGAAAATTCCCAGCTCCTACACAGGCTGGGCTCAGTAGAACATCCTTTCCTGTCCTGACCATCACTCTAACCTGCAATTCAGCAACTGATGTAAATTTTGTTTAAGTTTCCAAAAGCTTTAGATCAGCTCATCAAGCACAATTAAAGATACTGCCAAATAATGGACTAATCCAAGCTAGAGAACATTTTAACTTGAAGTCATCAAATTTTCAAACAATTTCAATCGGCAAAGGGAAAGGAAAATATCAGTTGTAACTATTTTTTTCTAAAGTACACCTGACCATAAAATATAGCCCAAAACAAGAGAATAGATAGATACTATACATTAATATCATCAAACATTCGTTTATATTATTATCTTAATAATATTTCACACCAGGCACACTTCTCCTTTTAAGAAGGAAAAGGAGTTTTGCAATTGGTGTATGTTTCTACCACCTGTCTATCAGTTTATCATATTGTGGTGGCTTGCATGTTGCTGTGATGCTGGAAGCTTTGCCACTGGTATTTCAAATACCAGCAGGGTCACCCATAGTGGACAGGTTTCTGTGGAGCTTCCAGACTTAGACAAACTAGGAAGAAAGGCCTGGAGATCTACTCTTGAAAATCAGCCAATGAAAATCTTATGAATCACAACAAAACATTGTGCCACTTCCCTGCTTTGGACACACCATCAGGAGGGATTAATTGCTGGAGGAGGATGTAATGTTTGGTGACGTAGAGGACCAGCAAGGGTGAGGGAGACCCTAGGTGAGATGGTTTGGCACAGTAACCACAACAATGGACTGGAACATGCCAGAGATCATAAGCAGGACACCGGACTGGGCAACATTTCATTCCGTAGTACATAAAGTCACCATAAGAAGGAGCTGACTGCATGGCAGCTAACAAGAACAACAACAAATATATATGTGCTTTTTTTTTGTGCCAAGTAGATCATTGAGGTGGGGTATTTTGTTGGACTCGTGAACTGGGTTTGAAATTGATTCTACTGTCAGTAATGCGCTTTTCAAACTAAACGCCAACTTGTTGTCCAAATTACATTCATAAAGCTTTTGCCCTGGGTAATGTGGTGAACAGCTAAGCTCCACAGAGCCTGCTGCTGTTTTTAT